GCTCGTCGATCCTCAAATTTTTCTGAAGAAGCAAGTGCTCATACGAAGTAACACTAACTACCCAGTCCTTAACCATTTCTAGATCAGAGAGCAGTCCCGTTGTGGTCTATTTCTAGAAATTCCAATGCAAAATCAACACCATAGTCTTATCTGCCCCAGGTATACCTTCCTCTTTTTTTTTTGCTTTGCTATGATTATTCCCTCTTGCGCTCACTGTCCCTTTGTTGCTCAGCCGCCTTGTGTTGAGCCTGCATTGCCCGAGCATCCAGTTCCTTTTGAATCCTTCTCTTCGTCCTTTGCAAGTCAACGAGTGCCCCTCCCGTGAGGAAGATTGTTGGCGTTATCTCTTCCCCCCTGCTCAACTTTCCTTGTGATTTTAACTCCTAGTCATGCCGCATGCTGTTAGTCCACTGGTCAAACCAGTGGCACTGGTCAAACCAGTGGTTATAAGTCAGCCCAAACTCTCATATCCATTTGTCGTTCTCATCATCCGGACCCTCATCCCTCGACCGTACTTCTTCCATTGGCTTTGTGACTTCCTCAGTCCTCTCCCCACTGCTGATGTCTATGCTTTCTTTGGGTTCTTCCTCATTATCTCCTCTGCTGCTATCCGGCGTGGGGCTATACCCTTCCTCGCGTTCTTTTGGCATGTGGGGGTGAGGCCTTTCGTCACATTCGTCGTAGTGCCATACATGCGACTCACTGCTCTCGGCGTCCTCCCTTGAGGGATTCTGACCCTTTGCCTTATCCGATTCCTCCCCTTTTTTCCGGGCTCACGTTTTCCTCATTGCTTTCACTTCCGGACGAGATATATATCCCTTCCCCTTCTCTAAGAGGTGAGAGCCCCCTGGTTTTCTGCTTTCTTCCTCCCCTGCCTACCACGAAGTTGAAATCAAACCCCACATACAACTTTCTCTTTTTGGTGCTTGGGTCCCCAGTGGGTCTTGTTCCTTGTTCCTCGTTGGGACTGTTGATGAAATTGCTGTCGTTTTCGTTACCGAACTCCATTTTTGTCTTTCTACTGTTTTCTTTTCCTCTGGCCCTGTGCACACATAAAAAAAAAACACCCTGAGCAGTCCCCAAATGCGCACATTCCCTCCCACTCCCATTGCGAATTTATAGGCTTACTCCCCAAAATCCTTGTTCAGTCTCATACAATTGGTAGTCCTCTTACAGTGATATCGCAGGTGGATTTTCGCATCATCCCACAAAAACTATGGTACATTGCCTCAGCAGATAGACACCCCATATAGACACTCTCACCATTACCCCACAAAAACTATGATACATTGCCGCAGGCTTCCAACCCTATCCACACTCAGCCCAAACAATTACCCCTGCCCCAGAAAAAATATAGAAAACAAAACCTCGCAGTCATGATCATTTTCACATAAGGAAGGTACATGATTATGATCCAGATGTGACTGCTGCCCATTTCTCAAGTTGTCAATTCCCAGTTTCCTTATCCTGAGTCTCCGACAACCATTGTTCCACTGGGTCCCGACTTAGGAACCTGACCAACCGTTGACCCGAGAATGACCCTTTTAATCTAGTACCATCAAAATCTTCAAGCTCGAAGGTATTCAACCCCACCCGCTTAGCGACTCGGTAGGGACCTTTGAACCTCTTTCCCAGCTGCCCAGACCATGTGCTTTCAAGTGCCGAGTTCCTAACCAGTATCATTTCCCCCACTTGGAGTGACTCCTTCCAGATATTTTTGACCTGGTCCCACCTTGCTTTGTCTCTCATTCGGCTATCCATCACTCTCTTAACAATATCCTCCAAGGCCTCCTCATTTCTAAGAACTTGTTGACATCGTGCCTTAATTAGTTCCTCCGTGGACATATGCAGGTCGTCATCTCGCTTATTCCATGTGGCTACCAATGCTTCCACCGGGAAATCAATCTCCCTCCCATACCAGAGTTTTGCCGGAATGCATCCCGTCGTCTTTTTCGGCATCATGTTCTCCGAGAAGACTGTCTGCTTAAGGTACCGGGGTCGATTTTCGAGGTCGTTTGCCGCCAGCTTAGCAATTGTGTTTTTCAAGGTTCAGTGCCCCCTTTCTACAAGCGCGTTGGCCTCAGGGTGATATGGCTCGATGATCTTGATAGACACACATAACATCTTGAGTTTGCCTAGTACTTCCTGGTTTACGAACTCCGTCTCATTATCTGCTATGAACCTTCAAATAAAGGGGTGCCTTAGGTAGAAGTCTTCTATCCAGTCTACTACTCCCTTCCACGTCTTTCTTTTAAGAGTCACGGCCTCCACGTAACCACTCAGGTTATCTCTTGCGTCCAGGACATACCTGTAACCGTCAGTCGATACAGGCATGACCGCGAGGTCAAGGTGGACCAGATATCCTGGCCCCAGCACCCGAGTAGGTGTAAGAGGTTCAAAGACACGGGCGGAGCTCCTTTCTTGGCAAATCAGGCACGTTTGACAGTAAGTAGCCACCATACCAGCTATGCCTGACAAAAAATAAAAAGGCGCGATTTTTTTAAGAGTCCCTTTCGAGGATCGATGTCCGCCGGCCGGCCCATCATGCATTGCTTGTATTACGTCCAGTTGTCTAGATCTTCCGCATACGACTCGCCTAGGTGTCATCCCTGCCTCCCTTTTAAACAGGTGACCGCTCCTCAAGACATACTTTTCAGCTTCCTCTCTTGCCTTGAGGCTGACTTCCATAGGATGCTTGTTCCCTATGAGTATCAGGCCGATCTCTCGGAAGATGCCGTCATACATCTCTACGAGGAAAAATTATTGTCCTTCCTGGCTCATATCTCGCTTTTCCTGAGTCTGATTCACTAAATACTGCAGCTCGCAGTGCGCCCACGATTCTATTAGGCACATCACGGCGTCCCCACCCCCTTCAACGACCATTCTCATCAACTCCTCCTTCGGCCCCACTGCTGCCCCCCACGAATCATTTTCATTCCTATACCTCGCTGTGGTGATTGACCCTTCCCTGAGCTTCGCAACTATGACAGACGCCCCTCTTTCTAAAGTCTGAATCAACAATTCTTCTGGCGTGCATGCGAGACTCGTCATCTCGTTGTCCACTGCGAGGGTTCCTCCTCGTATTCCAAAAAAACGTCGATTGGTTCCTCATCTTCTACCCATTCCGGTGTGATGCAGACCCGACTTAGCTCGTCTGCCTTGTTCCGGAGCCCCGCAATTCGCTCGATCTTGTAATCGAATTGCCAGATAAAGCCTATCCACCTCCCCACAGTTGGGTCTATATGCTTATAGTTCTTTAACGCTCCCATGACGTTAGTCGGATCGATCCTTAAGATAAACCGTCTTCCGAATAGGTAGGCTTGAAAGGTCTTGAGGCAATGTAGGACGGCCAAAACCTCCTTTTTGAATTGGGAGTACTGTCGTTCTTCAAGGTTTTGCTTTCGAACCTAATTGGCATTTCCTTGCCCTCCTCGTCTTTCTGTACTAGGACACCTCCTACCGCCAAAGATCCTTCGTCCGTGTCCAGGATAAACGGCCGTCCTACTTCATCGTTGAAGCAGGGTGCTGCCAGGGTGACTTGGTCGGAACTCAGTGTGTCCTTGAGGGTCTGGACCGCTGCCTCCCTTTCCTCGGTCCATTCCATAGTTCCTTCTTTTCTAATCATCGCACGGATAGGCTCAGCTATTTTGATAAAGATCCTCCAGAATTCAACCACCCCTAAGAAGGCCCGTACTTCCGTTGTGGTGCGCAGGGGTGTCGGCCATTGAGACATTTTATCCGTCTTCGAAGGGTCAGGCTTCCTCCCATAGGCTCCACAGCGAAAACCCAATATGGTCACTTCCGGAACTGCCAGAATGTTTTTTGGTCCGCTAGCGGTGATATTGTATATCAGGAAGCATTGTAGTAACTCTTTGATATCCTGTAGGTGATCCAGACGAATTTTCGAACCCCCGGTTGGACCTCCGTCTCGTCCTTGTTCTGGGCGCCTTTTATAGGATTGTCATCTATACAGGGCTCACATTTTTCCGGGAACATGTCCCCGACTACCGCAAGCATCCTCCTCTGTACTTCCGCCACAACGTTCGTAAAGCCCATAGGCGTTACCTGCATCTGCAGCTGCCCTACAGGGGTGTGCATAGCGGTGTATGATCTATCCCCGACATCTGGTGACAATTTGTCATATCCTGAATACAAGTCTATCAGGGAGTAAATGCTCTGTCCAACATGAGATTCTGCCAGCAGATCGGCTTGTGGAAGAGATCCTGCATATCGGATTGTCAACCCATTCAGCTTCTGCAAATCTTGGATCCACCTAAGTGTCTTGTTGGGTTTCCAAAAAACAAACCACTTGTTTGCGTAAGGGGACGCAGTGGGTTCCGCCACGAACGAATCTATCTTAGCTCTGAGTAATTCCGTAACCTCTGTTGCTATTCCGAATTCGTAGGCAGACTCTTTGTCGTTCCAGCACTCATCCAATCGTCCTTTCTGATGATCATTAAAGGCAAATGCTAAGTGAAAATCTTGGCATGTTTTTTTTATCAGTCGGGTTTCTTTTCCCGTTAGGAACCCATCTATCCCTATTTTCATGGTGTCTGCTACCTCGTCGGGTATCCGATGTCCTTCCGCCGCTCGCCTTTCCCTTATTACCTTCAAAATTTCCTTCTCCTTCAAGTTCTTCATGACCTCTTTCTTTGACTCTCCAGTAGGATTGAAACCGGCTTAGCTTTCTTTCCTACTGGGTTATATTTCTGAACACTTCCTTCCGCGATCGTTCTTCTAAAAAATGAACGGTCGGGCTCGACTTTGCTATTCCCGCGACACGAGGTTGAATATTGATGACCTTCCCGTTCAAGCAGTAGCCCTTTCGAACCTTATCCTCAAATTTGGCAAGTGTTGTCGAGTCCACCCCTACTTTGTGGTACTTGATAGCCTTGACGAGTTGTAAAAGGTCCTGGATTTTTAGCGTTACCTCCGGCGTTTCCTTTCGCCATTCCTTCGGTTTGGGCGAATTGGCCCCTTCTCAGCCACCATGACTCTTAAGACTTCGTCTTTTTGCCTCCTTTTCTTCAAAGGCAGACCCATCTTAATCCATTCCTTTTTGCTAAAAGCTTCCTCAATCGTGATTTTCACCCTTTCTCTCATACCCTCCATTCGGGCGAATGCCCCTTTTCACGCACTATCCTCGAACGTTGGTGACTAAGTTGCCAATTTTCCCTTTGGAGGATCTCCTCTGGTCCCAAGGAGTCGGAGAAGCTCTCCCTGGCCGATCATTGGGTCCTCTATGTCTACCATGTACGTGCCATCGTGCAAAGGCCGCGACATCGGACCTGCGCACCAGCGATTTCGATATCGCGGGTTCGCATGGGGGCTCGCCTGTCTTACGATGCAGAGTGGGTGACAGAGCTGAGTATAGGACGGATGTCAGGGAGAGGGAGGAGACAGTTGAGGAGAGGTACGCTCGCCTGGATCGCGAGAAGGAGACACGGTTACAGTCCATGCCTCGATGGGCTGGCAGAGAGGCGTACGAGGCCGAGCAGCGGAGGCAGAGGGAGTTAGAGACGATAGGAGCGGGTTCACCATCGAGCGTCGGACCATTGCCGACTTCAGACACGATGCAGGCCCCCTCCCATGCTGGGAGAGTTGGTGCTGACACATGCGGATTGGACGCTGGCGACGGGGGGCTGGCAGATGTGCGATACGAGGGTGGTGACGTTGGGGGTCTTGAGACAGTCGGGGCAGACTCACGAGCTGAGAGCTCTGACGATGGCGAGGAGTGTGAGGCCGCAGAGGCTATCGTACACGGCGTTGTAGTTGGCATATGCGCGGCTGGCACAGATGGCGGGATTCATGGAGGGGAGGAGGAGATGGGGGACGAGGGCAGTGTGCCTTTGGATGATGACGCAACACAGATTGAGGAGGAGGGAGCAACGGTCCACGCAGGCCGCAATGCCCCATCGGTGCGAGATGGCGAGACTGGAGGGCATGTTGAGGAGGATAGAGCGGCCGTCGACATGTCCCTCGCGATTATTGTTAGGCCCCCGTTGGTGCGAGATGTCGAGACAGGAGGGCATGTTCACTCGGGCCGCCCGGTCTCTTTCTCTGCAGGTGGGTACTCCGGGGAGATGCCTCGGTGGGATGGCGGGGAACCAGGGGAGTGCACACCGACCCCTTTACGTCCGGAGCAGCTGGAGAGGTTGGGGACGGAGGACCCTTTTCCATTCACAAGTGGACAGTCATCGCCTCCCGCGTGGGCACCAGTGACCCCTAGGTGGACTGGATCATTACAGTCCGACATCCGCGAACGGGAGTCCTTGGACAGACAGGCGGCAGTGTTTTCAGGCGGGGTTGCCAGCAGCCATGTGCAACCACCGCTACGCCCTTTATCTCGAGCATTGCATCAGGGATGCCCACCAGTCTTCCACCGACTGGTGGTCGAGGCAGTGGGCGGGGATCTTCTTCGAGTCATCGAGGTGGCATTTTTGGTGGGTGGTCGTCTTGCAGGCGAGTGACGGACAGTTTGAGGAGGGACTATGATAGAGGACAGGGGTTGTTCGCACGAGGACCATCGGGGGAGGGAGGGCCTGCAGCGGGTGCGAATGAGGCTGGACGACCGAGTGTCCACACAGCAGGACGTATACTCGGATTGGATAGAGTTGGGACGAGGCGGACCGAGAGGATGGTGCAGCATTCGACCCGATCAGCCATGGAAGATAGACGGCAGGGAGTGTCGTACACATCGGGCGAGGATGACTTGCATATGCCACAGGGGTCGAGACATCATGGCTCGAGCATTGATCTTGACTTGCAGATTGCTGCTGAGGAGCAGTGGTTGGCGGAGCTGATTCGAGAGCGTGAGAGGAGGTCGGAGACGGAGGCACAAGCCGAGGAGGCGGACACGGAGACTGAGCCCATCGAGACAGCTGCGTGCAGAGAGAGGCATCGGAGAGCAGCGGTCGTGGCAGGCTCACACCTTGCACCCGTAGGGAGAGATAGAGCACCACAGGGTAGGGATCAGAGTGGGCAGAGAGGAGCATGGGCAGGGAGAGGGAGCGGAGCACATCACAACACTCATACTAGGCGCAGTAGCAGGAGTTAGGGACTTGTGTAGTAGGGTAGCTTAGTTTTTTACTTTCATTTTTTTGTATATTATCTTTATTTTATTTGTACATTACTTTCATGTTCTTAGTTGTTAGGTTTCAGACTTGCCCTACGTTGTCAGTTGTACATGGTTGTAATATTTGTTTCCTACACAGTGCCATTAGTTATGGTTTTCTTGAAAACTGTAGGTGTTTGGCGAGGTTGTCATGTTGACTGTGTTGTCATTTCGTCATATTCACCTCACGTTGGGTAGTGCTATGTTTGTATCATGTATTGGTGTTTCTGTGTGTGTTGTATTGTCCTTGTGTCTATCGAACCCAATCCCCTCCCAATTAATGTCCCTCTCCAACCGCCTTTCAGCCAACGAGCCCTCTCTCTCTGCCCCCTCCCAATGAATGACACCCACCAACACCCTCCCGAGTCCCAATGAATGACTCCCCCACCTTATCAAACCCCCAAACCATCGCTGAAACAAAAGAAAAAAAAAAATTGTGTGTTGTCCAAGTGGAACCCCCAAACATGAATGCCCCCCCGGTCCAATCCCCTCCCCCCCCCCTCCAATCCCCTCCCAATGAATGGTCCCCCAGTCCCCCACCAAGTTACCAACACCTTCCGAACAAATAACCCCCCACCCTCTCCAACTCTAAACCAATCCCCCCCCAAAAAAATATAAAATAAAATTGACTGTGTACATGAAGTGGCCCCCCCAAAACCCAAGCGTGCGCCATCGAAATTGAAAAAAAGGGGTCCCTTATTTTTTATCCCCCCCCCTAAACACACCCCAATTTGGCCCCCCCCGTTTTCAACTTTTTTTCATTTTTTTCTATGGGGGGGTGTCGGACCTCGATTGCGCTCCCGGAATCCCGACGCTGACTTCGGGTACCCCCCCCCCACGCCCATGGCGTGCCTTCCTCGACCGTGACCTCGGCGGTCATGACTGCGGGCCCGCGGCCTCGACTGGGGGCCACAGTCGTGCCCGCGGTGACCGCAGCCGCGGGGGATACATAGCCCGACAGAGGCTCGATTCCTGGAAGCAACGTCAGAAGGTCTAGAGAAGACTCGACTATTTAGACGAGCGGAGGTGTGGATAGATGTCGCCTTAATAGCTACGGTTGTCGGGAATTCTCCCTGAGGGTTCTCTAAGGAGGATCGGAGACGGGCCAATGAAACGGCACGGGATTATAGGTGGAATGGAGGACGGTTAGAAAAGCGAAAAACCGATGGGAGTGGGATATGGATGTCGATACCGCATCCGTTCATAAGGTATGACTAGGTGAAATCCGCCCACACGGAAACGACAACACATTTCGCTGTCAGAATTATCGAGGCGGCCATCGAAAAAAATGAGTGGTATTGGTCCAATATTAGGGACGATGTTAAATTTATTGTTAAAAATTGTCCCGCCTGTGCGGCAGATAAGACGCCGATTCAGCCACCTAGGTCGATAGTGCCCACCGTAGTCCAACGACCATTTCAGAGGGTTATCATGAATACGATGGATATCGTCGTGCCCCCTGGACCGAATAGCTGTGAGTATTCAATTCTCTTGGTGTTCATCAACCACTTTTCGAAGTGGATCGAGGCCTACGCATGTCGGACAAGACAAACGGCGGAAATAGCGCTGCATGTCAACCGTTTCCTCGGGATGCATCAGGATACCAAGGAAATCCTTACGGACAATGGAGCAGAATTATGAGGGAAGGTCATGAGGAATCTAGCCGTACATGGGGTGTCTATTCGTAATACAGCCCCCCATAAGTCTCAATCGAACGGCCTCATAGAAAACGCCAACCGAGTAATTAAAACGGCACTCCGACGGAATATCGCTGCTAGGGACACGCGACAATGGCCTGATATCGTAGATCATATCATGGCCATACATTGAGGGATCCCGCATGAATCCGCGGGACTTTCACCATTTCAACTACGAACCAACAGCCTAGCTTGTGTCTCAATACCAAACCTGAATAATGAAGCAACACTCGGCCGATGTCCCACAAGAACGACAACCAAGGAAAAGGCCAAACGCCATTTGGAACTTATGGAACGGGCCCTTCTGAGATTGGCCCGAAAAAGACAGAGAATGACCGAATTGGCCCACGACCGCCTGGTCCGTAGTTACAAGGCCTGAAACGGGAATGCAGGCCCCCGGCCCCAATATAATTTGGGGGACTTGGTGGAGGTGAGGAAATGTGCTCGTCAAGGGAAACTAGCGCCATGATTCTTGGGGTGCTTTCGAGTGATCAAACTCGGGTCTAACGGTGTGAACCCTGTGCGCCTCGCTCCCAAAGTGTCAGGTAGCCGGTCTGGTAGACCCATAGTCCGCCACGTGTCCTATCTTCGCCATTTTCGTGCTTTCTCCCCTCCCTCTCCAACTGGTTCCCCTTCGGAATCTGGGTCCTAGTGGGAGAGCGACGATCCCTATTCTCTTTCTTCTCCCCACTCATCTTCTCCCTCCTCTTCGCCATGAGTTTTTCCACAGAGCAGGTACTCAGTGAGCGGATGCTAGCGTCACGCGGGCACATCTCGGTGATCAGGCAGGTTCATCATCCGCGTCTCAGCCCGGACGTCATCAGATATGCTCAGTTTTTCAGCACGGCAAGCGTGCATGCGGCAGTAGAGTTCCGATTCGTGGTACCCAACAGCAAGGCGCAAGTGTTGGTCGAAGCATCGCCCTATCTACAGCTCTTGGCGCCAGGGGCCAGCCACATTTCGACAGTTGTCACCTTCAGCGGAGACATCACTACGATGGATCCGAGGGCGCATCCGAGCATCCTCGTCTCGTTGCGAGATTGGGGAGAGGAGTTGGCGAAATCCTGGAGTCAATTGCTTGCGCGGCGGGGGGAAAACGTCGTCAATACTAATAGCATTGACCTGGACGACATTCGTGCTCTCGAGCAAAATCCCGCAGTATCTCTCCCTGCGCTCGTCACTTTCTCTCGTCCTCAATGAACCATCACAGGTTCTCTACCTTCAGCCTCCCCTCTGTCTTCCGTGCCTTCTGGCAGTGGGCGCCCCATCCCCGTCTCTCTTCCCGCGTGCAGCCATTGACAGTTCCTCATAAAGCCCATACAGTGGCAGGGGTGATGGCGAATCTATGCGACTCTTTCTTTGTGCTTAGTCGAGATCGAACTGAAGTGGACCCGAGACAGCGAGCACAACGCCGTGAGCGAAGACGTGGAGTTGCTCATCATTCAAGCTTGGAGGACGGAGGTAGAAGGAGATCTGTTGGGATTTGTCTTAGGATCGGTGGAGGCGGGACATCGGCAGCCGATCGTAGGAGAGCTTCAGATCCTTATGGCGCAGCTGCTGGACGATCTATCGATCGACATCATCTCGCACTGCGACGAGAGTCTAGCGCCGCATATTCTTTCACTCAGTTTGACGCCGTACCTACAGTGGTCGGCGTGCTTGGAGGGCAATTGGGACAACCGTACTTACCCGTCGCACGGTAATTCCCTGAACCCCGCGGAGATAATCGATATTCTCTTTTTTGATCGGGGCGAGCCGACGTCGAAAAACGAAGAGGAAGAAGATGAGGAGGAGGAGGACGAATCAGAAGATACCCTCGAGGAGGACGAATATTATAGCGAGTATAGTGAGAACGAGTCGGGGGCGATAAGTGAAGAAGAAGAAGAAGAAGAAGCGGAGGGAGCAAGTGAGGGGGAAGAGGCGGGACAGGCGGAGACGCAGAGGGAAGACTCTGTGGAAGCGGAGCGGTAGAGGGCAGAGATAGCGGAGGGAAAGCGGCCATTGGAGCAGTCGGTGGGAACTGATCTGCCAATTCTGAACGACCCGACTCGAGATCCGGATCCACCGACGGAGGAAGATGAGCACCTTGTTGCAGAGACTTCGAGCGCGCCGACATGGAGGCAACAAAGCCGCTCCCCCTCCCCTGCCCCCCGTCCCTCAGTTCGAGCACGTGGCAATGCGGGGCATTGGGCTACGTCCCCGGTTATTATCTCGTCGTCCCCTTGATTACCTCACACTCCGGTAGATTGACACCCCGCCCTCATTTCCCCAAAATCCCTTCCATCTTCTCTCTTCTACCAATTCTACGCCACTCGCCTCGCTGACGAAGTGTACCCTCATCCCACTACTCAGTGTGTCTCCCTATCTTTTTGCCTTCACGTCCTTCTTTTCAGCACCGCGTGGGGGGGTTACAACGTGATTGAAGTCCACTGCACGATCACGAGAACTATTCCCGTGTGCGCAGATCACGAGCAATTCCGCGCGGCCTTGTTTCGCATATTTTCAACTCTCTATCCCGATTACCTTGCTTCTCTTCCCCATGGCAGTCATCGCTTCTCCACATACACCGCACCATCATGTACCTTGAGCTTCCTGGGACGGTAGCGGGGATGGCGAACTTCTTGCCCGCACTTCCAAATGAACATCCTCCACCCCCCGCCTCTGTATTCAGACTTCCTTACCCTCCTCCCTCGGGACATTAAAAGCAGGTGCGAGAATCACGACGTGTCAGCAGGATGACTTTCATACTCTTATCCTGTGTTATCGCGCGTTCATTGAACGCACGTTTTGCGTTCAGGTTTTGAATGCAGTGAACGCGCGTTCACTGAACGCAGGTAAACGCGTTTGACGCGTTTGCGCAGGTGGGTTTTGGCGCACGGGGTGGGCTGGGGGCTGCATGTGTGTGTGTGTGTGTGTGTGTGTGTGTGTGTGTGTGTGT